AAGTGATCTGTAGCGAGATCAATTTGAGTTTATGCTCCTCACCCATGTTAATGTGCACCTAAGTGACATTTCACAACCCTCATTGCGCCTATATGATCTTCTGCGGACAGACGCACAAAGCTACATTCAAACAGGCACACAAAGTTAGCGCTCTATTTATAAATAGATTAACATCTCCGTTCAAAAACGTCCTAGCACGGGGAAAAGCGGTTGTAGGTGGCAGAAATAATTTTGCCAAATTGTTGGAATGGGTGAAGCTTGCACCAAGATGGGCAGAGCTAAGATCAAGAATTCATAGAATTTGTTCAAAAACGTTAGAGCGTGTGGAAAAAGTGATTAGAGGTGGTGGAAGGAATATGGATTCTGAAACAGGATGGGGCTTGAAACAAGCTCGGCGGGGCTAGGGTCAACAATTCACAACTCTCTACAAAGATGTCAGATGTATGAAATTGTCATCATTATTCCTCACCATAACCTATAAAATCGTCGTCGCGACTGACAATACAAAAAGGATTATTTTTATCTGTCCCGAGATTCTGCACTACCTGATGAAGTCGGGTCAACTTTGGGATGGCTATTGGAGCAAGATCAGCAGAGCACAGATGAGCTCAAGGGAACGCCGCTCGCAGGGGTGGAACATTCACCGGAGTAGACGGTGCGGTGGGAACAACTTCATAATTTTGCTCCAAATAGACGACCTACCGAGAAAAGTGGGCAAGGTTAGGAACAGTCTATCAAATTGGACGAAGGAGACGCATTTGCGGTAAGAGCTCTCTCGAACTTTTTGCCCGGAAAGACACGCATGCAAGGAAGCCCAAGTATCCGATGACATAGCTGCTCCTGCTCACACTACTTGGGGTTACTCCCTGAAACTATGGTTCAACAGTTACAATATCGCATGATGAGATGAAATTGCTGTTTTTTTGTTGGTGAAGAACAGACACAAGATATTCAGGAACTCCACTACGATCAGTTGAACAAGGATATCAAAAAGTTTGTGGTAGAAGCTGGCCAGACTCTCGACCACAGGTGCAAAAGTATGGATGGACCTATCATGAAAGAATCGTGTATTCCAGAAGATAGGAAAAAAGAGATCTCATCCTACTGAAGAACGATGATGATGATCGCAGATGATGTCCACCTTCCAAACCATACGAGAATGAATTCAACACTACGCTGAGACATTTTCAGTTGTTTCATACAAGAAAACGTTGATATATAGGCGTCATTTATTTATTTATTTATTTATTTACTATGCGCCCGAGGACGCGCTACAGTCCGGCAATACAAGAACTAACGAGACTGCAAAGATGTTAGGTCTAGGATCAACAAAAAAATAAACAGAAACCAACCAAAAAACAAAAAGAAAAGAACTGAACATGATAAAAAAGTATATTAAAACAATCCTTTCTAACCACAGCACATGGGCAAGTCATGTCCAAGCAGGACCACTAACCAAGGAATTACTGAGCTATCAATAACGAGAGGAGCGCTAGCAAGGAAATATCAAGATACGTCAGCGACGCCCAACAGACTCAAAATATTGGATTTTGCGACAGCCTTCTTGAATTGTACTGAGTTGTCGAACGCCAGAAGATGGGAAGGCAACGATTGCAGCCACTTCGTAGTTCGTATTATATAACTGTTAGCTCGTAGTTCCCGACATCTGTTGCCCATTTTGTGATTGAAAACATTGAAGGGGCCTCTTCGTCCATGAGATGGCCGGAATATCCAGAACTGGGAAGGCTTCAAACGCAATTCACCTTTCAGAAGCTTAAATGCTAAAACAAGATCAGCTTCGCCATGAGTGTTTAAGGATAGCGTGCCCTGCTTTCACTCCAGATAACGTACCGTTTCGTGGTTACGCGAATACAATCAAAAGGATGGGTGAAGATATACACATCATTGAAGACCTTACAGTTCCTGGCGGGATCTTAGGATCCTTCATTGCCGGAAATACGTCTCAGAATGCTTCTCTGACTCGATACGCAAGCAGAAGACACGCTTTAACTATCGTTGATTTCGTGGCAGAATGCGAAAACATTACAGCATTGAAGATGGATAACGCAAACATGGGAGCAAGCTATGATGTGCATGCAGTGTATAAAAAGCAAGTAAAATGTTTCGAACGTGCAGGACCGCATAACTGAACCCCTGTCCTCTCATTATAAACCAATCTTCGAAGAAAAGCAAACATGCAGTATCACCGTCACAAGAGGAATAGGGGCAAAAATGATGCAACCTCCGCCGCTGAGTACGCAAGGACATATATCAACGTTGGTGCCCGAAGACATAAGGCTCGTTCCAAATTGAGAAGATTGACACTAATATCGCGACACACCTGGAGAAATCAGGATTTCAACCTCTAGGACTCTACAATATACCAGTCAGGACGGCAGAATAATCACCAGTGAAGGTAGAAAAGGTTTCATTCTAATTCCCTGTGGAAGACCGCACCAGTGAAAACAACATCTAGGCACTTCCTGCATATAAAGATTTATAGAAGTGTCACTGCCAAGTGGTGAGGGAACCAGAAATTATCAGGATTTTCTAAGATACAGATCTGATGAAGGGAAACGCAGAATTTTTCAAAAGCGAGATAGGCTTCTGCAAGACAGCAAAGGCGAAGCTATTTCTAAAAGAGAACGCGAAACCTGTTTTCAAAAATCGTCACAGTCAAGAAGGAGAACGTGACTCACTTAGGCCATGATTTTTCAATAGTGTTTAACGATGCCTGCAGTTGCACCAACACCCATTACCTACAGTGGAAGAGGCGTTAACGAAGCCGAATGGAGGACAAATGTTTTCATAAATTGTCTTGCCTGACGCATGTCTGCAGATAGCAGTTGAAAACAAGTCGAAATCGTTCACGATGAACACCAGTAGGGGCATTTAACCGTTGAAATAGACCATCCTTCAAAGTCAACTCGGGTCCCGGCTTTTCCAGCAAATATTGGACTTATGATTTGGGGACTACCAGGCGTTGCCGCATATCTGGATAGTATTGTCACAGACCACACCTACGAAAAGCATCGCAGGAATTCGGATGCAATTTTCGCATGTCTAGAGTTCGCTGCCTTGGACTCATTCTCGATAAGGATGATCAGGGAAAATTGAGGTTGTTCGCCAGGTACAAGTGCCACGGAATGTTGCAGAAGTTCGCTCGTTCCTGGCAATGATGAGTTACTATGGATCATTCGTGGCCGAAGTGCGCCAGATATGCGCACCACTCGATAAATTACTGAAGGAGAATTTTCCTCTGCGCTGAACAAGCAAATGTGATGGAACTCTTGAACGCGCCAAAGAAGTACTTGCGTCGTCGTCGTCGTTTCTGAATCCTTCGATCCTAGCCTGGTAACAATACTCGCTGCTGGCATATCCGCCTATGGGATTGGAGCCGTGACTCTTCGCAAAACGCCTAACAATACATAAATGGCTATTTGCCAGGCCAGCAGAAGTCTCACTGCTGCAGGAAAGAACAACGGCCAAATTGAAGAAGAGGGAGTCGCCCTTATATCCGCTGTTCGGAAATTCCATCGCTATATACATAGCGATGGAATAATATATACATATGAACGCCCAATCAAGTTGTTGACAGAAAATAAACCGTTGATACACATTTTTGGACCGTCGAAATTGGTGCCCATCTATACTGCAAGTCGACTACAACAGTGGCTGCTTTCATAACCCGCCGGCCGGCCGGCGTGCCGGCGGAGGCAGTGCTAAGGGGGAGGAGGGAGGCAGACAGTGTAAGGCAAACAGTCCACGCCCCTCCGAAGGTTGCTTGTTTTCAACCCCTCGAAGGGGCGTGGACTGTTTGCCTATCCGTCTGCCTCCCTGCTCCCCGCTAGCACTGCCTCCACGCCGGCACGCCGGCCGGCCGGCGGACTATGAAAGCAGCCAGTGGAAACTCATGCTCAAGGAATTTAGCTTCAGTCTAGAGTTTATTGGGGCGCCTTCCAGCAAAACCGAATCAAACCGAAGATATTGTGATAGCCAATTTAGAGATAAATTGTCTGTGCAAGGTGGATAACTGCACTTTGGCGACGGAGCCATTATCCCAAAGTCACTCTACACAACGTTGTACAGTACTGACGCAACTCAACGATGGACGCCCGGGATTGACGAGAACGAAAACGCTTGGTGGAAGGTATGTGTATTGGATGAATATCGACCGAGAAAATGAGGAAAACTTGTGTCAATGCCGTTATTGCCCAGAAAATTATTTGCTATGATGCTAAGAATGACAGTTCTGAACCCATGACCTGACATGAAGGAACCTCGGAATCGAGTTCACATCGATTTTGCCGGACCCATTAGTGGAAAGATGGGGCTCGTGGTAACTGATTCGTACTCCATGTGGCCAGAGGTATTAAGATGTCGTGCACAATCAAAGCGAATTTGAGAGAACTAGGTGCTGCTCGCACGTCTCGGGAATCCACGTGTGATTGTGTCAGACAATGGAGCACAGAATCGAGTTTGGCGACAAAGAAGGCATAGAACATAATCGCTCACCGCCCTTTCATCTGCAATCAAGCGGACAAGCAGAGTGCTTCGACGATGCTCTGAAGAGAACTTCACTCGAATCGAACAAGGGAGAGAAGTCAGAACTCTTTGCAGAATTTCCCAAGTGCTATCGAACGAGCAGTGTACCATAACTTCCGAGCGACTTTCTTCAGAAGAGTTATTACTTGGACGTCAGATACGAAGAACCTTGACGCTGCTGAAGAGATCAATAAGGAATAAAAAAGGACTCCTCAAGACAAAGATGGAATGATAGTACAGTCGTCATCACGGAGCATGGAAAAAATCGTACCAAGCCGAAGAGCGAGCCTATATTCGAAAATGTTGCCGGGATAAAAATGGATTGCTGCCCAAGCGGCAAATAATTGTGGCCGAGTATTACACGACGTATTGACGGAAGACGGGAAATAGTTTTTTATTTTCTTTTAAACAATAACAATATTTATTTGCAATAACAAACAACATGCCATCCGAGATTAATGTTTTCCACCAATTGGGGGAGCGGTGGCCCTCACTGGCTTCGGTGTCTTTACCATTTGTGGAGCGGGCTTCTTTTCCTTATTCAATGCGGTCTTAGCTGCTCGTGCTGCCTTGTTAGCCTCATTTGCGGCATTAGCTGACTGTTCACGTTGTTGATGTCGGAAGTAAGTTGTTGATTGCTCTTGGTTAGAATAGCCTCCAAGGACACTCCAGCGACGGCACGGTTGAGGGTATGGGTAGTCTTATTCACCTTCTTCTTTTTTACATTCTCTTGTCCGTACGTCTTTTGTTCTTTATACGGTAAAGAACGGTCTAACGGATGTCTCTGGGACTTCGCTTCAACTCGGTAGATCGAAATGCCTTGTCCGAAAGAAAAATGTGCACCTTTCCGTCAGGACGTACGACACGTTTCCCGTGTTCAGGGTAGATCTTGTATAAAGAATACACACAGGTTTCCAACTTCATGGTTGATAGAGCCCTGGTTCGATGTCACTCAAACTTGGGTAATTAAACCTAGAGAAAACCTGAATTGTGGAGAAGAAACAAACTAAAAACGAACTAGAACGAAAGGAAGTGCCAACCATCGGTTGGTGTGCTTTTTAGCATGACTGTCCACAAAAAATGTATTGAAGTGCACATTAAGAAGTGCAACTCACAAGAGATTCCAAGGATGAGGTGATGGGTCGGAATGCAGCCGCAACATTAATGGATAGAGTGAACCAATACCGTCGTCTACCCAATCGACTTCAAGTATACTCGAAGAAGTGTTGGGGAATGGGAGTACTTTTCCCTATCATACCATAGTGTATAAAAGTGTTATGTTGAGTATGGTTCATTCTTTCTTTCAACTCCAACAAAGGACCACATTAATCGTCTCTCGAGTTACCACACATTGAAAAAGTTCTGAACGTGCAAAGAAACAAAAAATTATAGTGGCAACGAAACTTGGGTACCACTGTTCCAAGAGTCAGTCAGTGGCACCCATAGGTAGGCCCATTGTCATCAAAGATATAACCTGTATTGTCCCTGATTTACAAAGAAGGAACTGATTTATAGAGCCTTTCTGAAGCGAAAAGAATAACATTAGCGGAACGATTTTTTTACTCCTTTAGACAGTTGCTGTGCCAGCTACAGGAACATTGTGTTTCTCCGCTTTCAACACATTAACTATTCCCACTATTTTTTCGGCCTCTGATCTAAAAAGGTTCGAAAACATTCAACACTCGCTCCTCTCCCACTTCCTTCAACTATCTCAAAATCCTCGGAATACCTAAGACCGTTCCTAGCCTATCTAATGAGAAAAGCTGGTGAAAACCTTCACTATGCTCCAAGATACTTCGAAGCATGGAGAGCAGCGTATAGACATGAGGTCGGGTATCCGTGCTTGTTCTCCTTCATCTTCGTTCTCGAAATTAATGAGTGTGCACCGAGTACTCCTGCTTGGTCACTATCACTGGATGCAGGTGGTAAAGTGAGCTCTATAGTAGCGATGGAAACAAGCAGTAATGATAAAAGGCCCCAAACCCCTCCATGCACTTCACGGTTGCTAGACTGACTTATGTGAATAGTGAGCCTGCTTACCAGCCCCACTTCCGGTGAAAATGCTTCGCTGCTTAGGTGCAGTGAGTAAGGCCACTTGTAGCATATTACAAAAAAAAAGAAGTCTTTTCAATATGCTTTTATGGGCAGATATAGGTGTCATAATTAGTTATGCGAGCGAGTAAAGCATAAATAATAAAGAAACGAAAAGCCAACCATGAATTCCTGCTTTCTCATGATAAGTACGTGGTTGTTTCTGTTCTTTCAAAACGTTTCTTACTCCCTCTAGTACCAAGATCAGTGGAAATCTGGCTATGGAAAAGCTAGGATTCGACACCGTTCTGTGCTTGATCGATAAAGTATTTCTGACATTCGTAAAGATAACTATTATGTATTTCTGGACGACAAGACAAGAAGCGCAAAGTGAACTAATGAAACTGTCGTGTCCTCCTTAGTCGAGCAATCGCGAAGACCCCGCAAACGCGCTCTCTTCTAATGCTAAGATAGAGAAGTGGCCGTTAGAAAATCATAACCGAAGCTTACCTCCAAATGGATCGTCACATGTGTGTAAACTGGATCAGTTATTGTGGCGTAGAGGCCGCCAAGAATGAACAATAAAGCACAACATAAAGAAACGAAAGTGAAAGCATGACGTCTACCAACAATGTACCTTGAAATCGAAAATTAAAAAAAAANAAAAAAAAATCACAAAAATCATAGAAATAATTAGCACACCTGTTCATCGATTCAAGAACACCGTAATTCAAGAAAAGTGTACTAAATAAATGTAGACATTCCGCAATCACTAGAAACACAATCACATGTAGGTATGCTGCCAAACCAACAAGGCTTATCTGCGCGAGAATATGAGGTTCACTCCCTACAGAATGATTGCTGATGTTGATCGTGGAAGATAATTTACTGCTTTAGAGAGCTTACCCAGAAGTAAGAAATAAAAAATCATTGAGAACTGCGACAGTACGAGCAGAATGAGAAGTGAAGCCCGTGCAACGTCTTGGAAACAGATTGTACGCCATCGTAGCCGAGCGGGTGTGATCCGATCCGGATCCAAATAACTGGAAGTCGCAGAAATATAACCGGCAACTTAAACAAAAACGAACCCTGAGCGATCACCCAGCTTTTCCAGTAATCCGAGTTCGAACTCTTGAGTCAGGTAAAGGTATAACCTCATTATATGCTTTCAGGCTTCAAGGACGCAACCGACGACCGTACCTCCGTGCGTGCGTCCGACCGACGGCGACGCTAGCCACTTGTTGACAACGCTGGCACGGGATCCATTGGCTTCCAATGTTGTTAACACATAGCCGGCAACACCGTCGGTCAGTAGGAACACGCACGAACGGACTGTCGATCGTCGGTTACGCCGTTGTGGTCTGAAGGGAGCCATTTACTTAAACGGAAGCTTTTTTTTCTGATGTGTCGTAAATCATTTCTTTTTATTATGCGTGAAGATGTATGTTAAAATTTGTATCGAAATAACGTTGTCTCGTAAAGTAAGACACGTTGCTTATGAAGTTCTACGTCTACTGCACCTACCGCATCTATTTCACGATAAGTTCACCGTAGGAACACGTTCCCGTTCCCTTTCGCGCTTGTGACAATTAATCTTTTATCAACGTAATAAGTCAGCTTTTGCCAACACTGTTTCAAATATGAATATGGAAGCGAAGTTGAGCGATGAAGATCGTTTTCGATTTTCTTTTGATCGTAATTCTGACAAAAATCCAAAAGGTAACGGGGCAAAGCGAGAATTGAATGATTGTTTTCCCATTCCTGGGGCTATGTATTTCCACACCGCTCGCAGTCAGCAATTTCGTACTAATTGCAACTACCGTGACACTACGCTTAGTTTTATCCAATTTCATAGACTGACCAGAGTGACTCGCGGTGCTATCTATAAATGGAGCGGCGTCTGCGAAATTCGCTGTGGGTCCGCAATACCGTAACCCGCTCTTATGTGCTTAGTTGCAGCTGGCCTAAATTTAAAAGTGAAATGAAAGCCACCAGGATGGGGAATGTACAGAAAAGGGAAGGTGTTGGGTGTCAGCTGCAGGTTATAACAATAGGTAATAATCAGTAAGGTTAGGGCGACAAACAGGTATTCAAGTTCTGAAAA